ACCGGCGGAGGAGGAACAGTGTTTCGATGTGCTAGTACATTTGTTCTTTGTTTTTCCCTCTCGTCGAAGTTATTTATTATTATTTATTCAGATTGCTTTAGTTGTACGTTTATTTATTGTTTGGTGTGACTCGCTTGGGAAGAGAAATGGCGTTTTGGGGTGAGTTTGTGCTTTGTATGTAGTTGTGTTTTTATTTTATCATTATTTTTAAAAATCTGATTAAGGTTCGTCTTATATTTTCATGCATCATGAATATGCAATTACACATCCATTTATTTGCGTTTAAGTCATCATATCCTGAACCCAATTACTACATCACTCATTCATTCATTCATTCATAACCTGACACTACAAAACCATTGGAAATTGGTGAAATATTCCATTCATCAACTAATCCATTTGCTAAAGCGCGCGGAATTACACTAGCAAAGAATATGATCAACGTTACATCACAATATTACGTCGCTGTGTTGGCTGGGCCGTTCACTTTCACTTTCAACCTAAGGCGCTGTGCATGTTGACTCCATAATACTAAGGCTGGTCCTATAGCTTTTTAACAAGGAGTCTGACTTTATGTTCTTACTCTTTTATAAATTGGTAATGTCTTCTTTTATCACCGGGTGTGAAAAGGTGTTAGTTTAAGTTAAGCATAAAACAAACAAGTAATTCAGTTTTCCTCCATCTTGTAAGTGGGTCGCATCTGTGTTCATGTGAGTTGTTCGTTATCTCCTAAATTGTGAGTTTTTTTTCTCCATCTGTTAACTTTTTTTTTGCGCTGGTTTTCCAGTCCATCCCAGCGAATCTAATGTCCTTCATACAAAATTATTATCATCATCACAGTCATTGCCCTCATTGCTATGATTACTATAATAATCACTATCATTTCTATAATGATACTTATTCTCATTCCTGTTCTTATTCTTACGATCAGTGCCATTGTCAGCACTTAATAGTATCACTACCATTATCATAATTACAGTCATATAGAATCCATGTAACTCATCTCTTATCTCATCGTTCATTGTCTCCATCATTCTAGATTTCTCCACAATTACTCTGATTTATTGGTCATTTTTCTTACTGAATATTGACATTAGTATTCTCTATGTAGACCTTTTCTCGTTTGTTATATACACTATTTTCTTCTATCTTTACTACATCTAAAAACTCTCATTTCCTTTTCCCATCTTTTTCTTGATTGTTTCTATTGTGGAGCGAACGTTCATAATCTTTACTACCTATCTTTAACGACTTTCAGATTTCGTGATTCTTTATCTGTACGTCAACTGTTTGCACCATTCTGTTAGTATCTGTTCCTGGTATTTAATTTCCTTCATTTCTTTGTACTCACTGACATTAGCCCGTTTTCTTACAGGTGTAAAGGTCACCCTCGTCCTTCTGATAGCTCTGACGGGGACTTGTTGGGCGGGAGAGTGGTCTTGGGGCCGGGATACGACCTCGTCCTCTCCCTCTTCTTCCTTTTCCTCGTCACCCCGCTCTTCTTTCGGGCGGTCACTCGGAGCTCCCACTCCAACCCGTAAAGAGGGGTCACTTTCCCTCCCCTTGCCCCTCGAACCTCATTCATCCCCGAGTGGGAGAAGTGAAGCTCTGAAGGAAGCCGAAACCTCCCCGAGATTCCTTGGGTTGAACGAGAGGCTCTGTAACATCGGGGTCGGGTCGTTGGTAAGTTTGTTTTCAGTGACAGATAGCTAGATAGACAGGGAGACAGATATATATATATATATATATATATATATATATATATATATATATATATATATATATATATATATATACATATATATATATATATATACATACATATATATATATATATATATATATATATATATATATATATATATATATATATATATATATATATATATATATATATATGTATATATATATATATATATATATATATATATATATATATATATATATATATATATATATATATATATACATACATATATATATATATATATATATATATATATATATATATATATATATATATATATATATATATATATATATATATATATATATAGGGAGATTCGTTGCGTATGGACATAGAAATAGACATGAAATATATATTTACACTTGAAACTTCCTCTCCACACTGCATTCACTAACAACATGCTTTTCCACCCCAGTGCCCGCCCGTCCCTTCTCAGGGTCTTCACCAGCAGCCTTTCGCCGGCTCTTTCCCCGGGTCCGTCCCTCACCAAGGCTCCTTCCAGGGATCTCAACCCCATCTAGCCCCTCCTCCTCTTCCTGCCCACGTCGCTCCTCCGTCCTCATCCTTGCCGCATGCAACCCCCACCCACTCTTCGTCCGCCCCCGTGGTCGAGCATCACCACACCCACATTCACATCACAGACGGTGCGGCGGGCGGAGTGGGCCTTCCACTCACTAACCCGGGCGAGTCCTTCCGGCCTTCCCCGCCGGTGCACACGCAGCCGGACGTTGCTCACGGAACTCTCTTCCGCCC